TAATATAATGTAATATATACACGAAGGAGGACGTTTCTAGAAGGAGATCGGATGAATAAACAAAACGATCGAGCTTGGTAACACGATTGACTTTTATTACATTTTTTTCATTTTTTTTTTTTTTTTTTTTTTAGAACTAAATAACATAAACGCATATTCTGGTTAATCCACTTTTTGTTTATTACTCGTAATATTACTATCGTATTAAGAGCTATAACGATGAGGCGCGCCCCTAAAAATCGTCTTCATGCTTTATCATGTCTTTTTTCTTTTTGTTCCTTTTTTTCTTACTTCTTGTTTCTCCTTTTTGTTAACCCTCGCCTTTTCTTTTTGTGTGTTTTCTCTCGCATTTTGTGTTTCATCTCTCCCGCCGTGAAAGCCAAAAGAAACGCCGTGAATCTCTCGTACAACGTAGGAAGAGGAAAGCTCGATTATCCTTCTCTTTTCTCGCTTTTGTTTTGATTTTATCCCCGCTTCGTTATACGTTTCGTTCAAGCTTTTAGACTCTGATTCGTGACTACATATCGCCTCCAGCTTGACACTTGAAATTTCCCTATCTTTCTTCCTATCGTGCAAAGAGATCGACAAGAGACGCGACCTGCATAAGGCCTTGAATTCCTCCTCTCGTTTTCTTTTCCGTTGCCTTTCTTTCTTTTTCCCTCCTTTTCTGTCGTCGTTTTCAAGGGTCAAGAGGAGGGACGAATAGAGAATGTAGGACTCTATGCATTTTTTACGCGTAACCAAGAGCCAAGACCATGCCCAGGGGTGTTGGGTTTGACGGGGGATGCTCACGGGTACAGCTACGAAATCGTGTGTCCTGTCGTGTCGTATCGTGTCGTGTTCCTGCGTGTGTGTAAACGGTGCCTATAATCAGTAGCCCTCGCCTTTTATTAACCTTTTATTTGGCACGGGTAAACGTTTTACCTATTTTAATTTCAATCGCCGAGTTCGGTTTCAGGTGCACCCACCAACCAATCGTAATTATTCAAATCAGTACTCTCAGTAGAATAATATAGTCATTTTTAAAACATAAGTTTCACATTTTTTTCAATTCAACTTTTTAAGAATCGAGATTCTTCCTTTTTAATTTAATCTTGCTAGAGGTTCTCAAATTTATTTAATTCTCGAACAATTCCAATTTAAGATATACTTAAGATTTATGATGAAAACAGCAAGAAACAGCTTGGTTAGCTTCTTTAACAAAGGATATATCGTTCGAATAGCTACAAGCAGCACACAATTTTCACTGTCAAGAAAAAAAAAAAAAGAAAAAGAAAAGAAAAAATAGAAAATTTTCAATCATCACACGGGGAACAAAATGCTCGGAGAGGCTTTGCCCAAATGGTTAAAAGGATTTCTTCTCGCACCGTAATTGTTGTCGTTTAATTCGCTAAATAAAGGGTTAACTTCCACGTGCACAGGTATGTGTGTGTACTTACGTGTTCATGTAACGTGTGAATAAGTGGTCGCTTAATATCTAGGTTACTTTATTTTTATATCAATGTTTATGTGTATATATATATATAT